GCAAGAGAAGGTACTAATTGACAAGGATGTCTCCCGTAGCCAGACCCGTCACCTGCTCCACATCCTCTATCAACCATATGACGTTAAGTGGGTAGATACTGTCTTAAAAAACAACAGCATCGCTGACGCAATGATGGCTCTTTTAAATAATTTGAGCATCTGGACTCTTCACTCTACTTGGATGGAATTTGAGCTCTTGTACAAACAGGTGTCCTCGACACAGGAAACTGACCCATTACCCTATGTGGCTCAGTCTATTGTCGAAAATTTCAATGAGCAGGCCTTGGGTTACCTCAAAGGCAGTTCATCTGATGCAGCCTCATCTGCAGAGTTGCCCGACGGCCTTCCAGATATCGAGATCCCCCAAAGCGACAATATTTGGCTCCTCTTGTCGTTGGTTACCAAATTGCCGACGCAGCTGAAGGTATCAATTGTGAAAACAACCTGGGATGTGAGTTTTAGATTTTTCATAAACGTTTTGCAGAGCCGCTTTTTGCCTAGTCAGTAATTATAGTTTAACTGGTATATTATTTATTCCATGGGCTAACTGAAAAGTGCATATGCTTTGTAATATCTTTCCATAGGTAATGTCCACCGTGAAAGTGGTACTTTAAGTTATTTGCTTATGCTCGCTGGGACGACGGGTATATTATGGTAGATATGAAACAGTTCTCCTCGTTCAACCAAGTGTATTTACAAAACTGGAAATTTATTCCCGATAGTTTACCAAAAATTAGTTATAGTCCGTAATTTTGTAGTAAAAAAGATATTGATTAACGCGTACTATAGGAAATGGGGGTCTATACTTCAAATTGTCAGCGACTGTTTCTCCAGTACATATAAGGTTCCCGGTCTAATTCATGTCCGCTTGTCACGGAGTTCGATTAGAAGTAGTGGGCGCTGTGCACTGACCCAAGGGCTTCATAATCTACTTTGATAAGGCAAGTATACCCAACTGAAGTATGGGGTCATCGCCTTCGCCACTCCGGCTAAGAATACACTTTTGCCAGTTACGAAGGTAAAACCTCGCCAATTCGCACGGCCCCTAAGCATGACCACGATAGCTCAACAGGTGGAGAGAATTTGGGGTAGCATGGCAGGCTGATTTTTACATGCAACGCGCAGTTCTGAAACCAATTTGGCTGACATTCACTCTTGCATCGCAGGCACAGAAACAATTTAATGACAGTAGAAAGCGACCCCAACGGTTCGCTTGCTGCTGTAGCTTTCCCTTCTAGTTGAAATTCATCAACATGGTGACCCCACTCCAAGTATTGGATGTGATCTCACATCTGCGTACTTGTACTTGTTTCGGCTGCGATCAGGACTGACCTAGCCGGCCTCAATTATGTCCCGTATGGTGCTTCTCCACGCGCGACGATCTGTGGCCATGTCCGATAATTGCAATACGATCCATATCTGCGTATATGTTAGTATATCATAAATGTCCCATGGCTGTAGAATGTCTACTTAAGGCACAAATTCTATCGGACTTAGCGTAGCACAAGTGCCTCGAGAAAGCGAACGTCACTTTATACTGCAAGTTGCAGGAGAAAACTCGGCATACTAGGATGGATCAAAGGAAAGGTGCGCGGTATCGAATTTGCCAAAACTCGAAAAGCATAAGCCAGCGCTCAACTTTGGTCCAGTCATCAGCGAAAATGTCAGCATTCGCAGACGGATAGAATCCATTAATCAAAGAGATAGTGGCATTTTCGGGTTTTCATCTATGCTTCATAAGAGTTTTCATTTTCTGTCTTTGGTTGATTTTAGCGCAACTTTACAGACACCGTAGTTTGCGTCATTATAGGATCTAGTTTAACGTGTCTGAGCAAGCAATTGTAGGACACTTCAGCAACTGCAGCCATGTTGATGCACTTGGGGGACTTAGACAAATATGTAATCGTGTTCGGGACCGTAACCCTCGTCAACTTCGATTCGGCCTACTTAAAAGTCTTCATTTATGTTTTCACGTCTTTGAACTTCTGGCTGCCCTAGGTTAAAGACACCAAGTCATCCACCACTAAGTTTTTGATGTTGATTTTCAGAAATTAAACTTCGATCAGTGCGCGCTTCTGGCCTCTCTAAACTTAACGGCGTGTGTGCAATCAGCTGACACGCCTTACTGTGTAATATCGGTTTGACAAGGCTATCTTTGTTTTGTCTGATTGCGGGTTGGCAAAAACAGAATGTACCTGTCTTTTGCCAATGAAGATTTTTGGCCTTACCTCCCCACCGCTTTATAAAATGCCTACTCTTAGGCTCACAATACCATAATTTTTGGGACCGTCTGACCCTCTGATCACTGATACTCGTTTACTATGAGTCGATAATGACGAAAGCTATTCTCTCATTATTCCAGTCACGTGATCAATGGGGTCATGAATAGAAACGGCAGCAATGTTCATGTACTTTAGTCCGTTGTGCAAAGCAGAAATCGGCGTTCAGTCGCTTCATTAGTCCTCTCAAGTACGGAAATTCGACCCCATTAAATGTATCGGAGATCTCTCCGGGCATAATATGAGGAAGACCCTAGCTGTCTTGTTCCTTCTTAGCCGTCGCTCCCCCACTGACAGAAGCTGTCTTCTCAAGTAGTATTTGACAGGCTTACTGAAATAACGTCAAAAAAGACTTTCCTTGTTAGTTGCATCATGAATAGCGCAAGCAAAATACTGACATGAGGGCTGGTAAACGGTTCCACCTAAGAAAAAAACACTTCACTTTGCCGAGATCATTGCCCCTTACGACTAGACTGGATACCGTGGTCATTTAGATAGCATGATTGCTGATCTCACACCTCCCGAACGGCTGCATTTTCCGACATTTATTTATCAGTAATTGCAGTACTTGGCAATAAATTGATATATCACGGTACATCTTCGCCCGAAGCTTTCGTCAAACCATGTCTAATTGGAACTCCAAAGCTAGTTTGCAAGCATCCGATGTTCGTACCTTTCTAGGGTAGGGTTATGTCGTGGGGTCTTCTGGGGAAAGTGTGAAGCGCGCCCCGCAGGTTCACGCACACCTGATTTTCGGGGAGAGGACGGGCGGGGCATGTC